ATCAATTAATTTTAAAATTTGAAAAAACCAAATACAAAAGCAAAAAAAAAAAAAAGAAATAATAGTAACTTGGTCCTGGAAATGGGAATAAATTACAAAGTATAAATATAAATTAAGAGATGAACAGAAAAATATATATCTTCTCACCTCAACATCAACAAAAATCAATTCTGCAAAGTTCCAGATTTCTGTTTTTCAACATAATGCTCGATATTAAATTTTTGTAATAGTAAAACTCGAATTGTCCACATCTTTTCTTTTGACTTCAGTGAACCGATGAAACGGTTCTCTTGTATTGCCATGATACCTAAAAATATGAGGGAAAAAAACTCGAAACTGGTAGATTAGTAAAATGAAATGTGAAAATACAAATATAGTAAAGGTTTTAAGCATAAATATAATACGTAAAAGGGTATTTGAGAAAGTAAATTAATGGTAATAAAAAACAAAAAAAAGGAAAGGAAACAAGGATAACAGATCACAGATGTGGCAATGTTTTCCTAACATCTACACGTAAAACCAAACAATTTTTGCTTTCCTTTCCACCTCCTCCCTCTCCTGCCCAATTCTCTCTCTCTATATTTTTTTGGCAAAATCAAACTATTCTATTTGTGTCTGTTGATCGATGAATTTGTATTGCATGGTTGTATTGAAGGGAATGTAAAGAGATATCACCAAGTTTGAGAAAGGTATGTGTATTGCACATACCTATAATACTTCTTTTGCTCTTCTTCTGTTTCTTTTCTCTCTTTTCTGTGTCTAAGGGTGTTGGAAATTGGGTATAGAACTTAGTAAAGATGCGATATTTATATAAATGTAATGTTGTTTTCTATGTCATATGAATTAATTTTTTCAGTTTCTGTGATTAATTCGTTGTTTAGCTTCATATGATTTTAAGATTGTATTTTAAATTTTGGTAGGGGTTTTTAGTTTTTGTTTTTTAGCTGTTAATGATCGGTGTAAATGATTCGTAGTGGTATTTCAGTTGGTGTTAATGATTCATAGCATTATTTCAGTTTTAGATTTTCTGTAACCTGACTGTTCAGTTTTTAATTTTTATAATGATTGTAGGGGTTGCATGATTGCAAGCCATAATTTTGAAAACTGAAAAGGTGCAACCCGCATTAGGTCAGGAGTAGTACATAGCACACCCTGATGGTGAGACTATGGTAGATGAAATTCAACACTTTCAAGATGCAAGATAGGTTTCAGCTTAGGAAGCTATCTGGAGAATTTTTGAATTCAATCTTAATGAGATGTCCCTAGCCGTCATCAATTTGCAAGTGCATCTCCCTGGAAATAATGTGTGACTTATTGAAAGAATCAAAATCAAAAAAATCTTCTCCAATGGTTAATTTTATTGGAATGTTATTCTCATCTTCTTGGTTCATTTGCTATTCATTTTATGTCATTTTATGAATAGTTTTCGATTTTTTTTTTTAGTTTTTGTTGTTTTGAGGGTTGCTATCAATGCACTACCACTTACAACTATATCTTGGATGCTTTTTTTTTTGGAAAGTAGTTTCATGTCCTAAGAATATGCAATGGATGACATTTTCTCTATTAAATATGATGTTTTTAGTTTTAGAGTTCTAGTCACTTGTGACCCTTTGTCTTATCTTGGGTGCAATAATTAAACTTTAACCCACAATTAAGATTATATGAAACCTTAACAACAAATTTAAAAAGGCATAATTGGAATAACAAAATTTCTAGTCACTTGTGACCTTTTGTCTTACCTGGGTACAATAATTAAACTTTAACCCACAATTAAGATTAAATGAAGCCTTAACAACAAATTTAAAAGGGCATAATTGGAATAACAGAAATTAATATCAAAATATTGCTTACACTCACACTCCAAAGTAGACTCATGGTACTTTTTATACATTATCACTTACAACTATATCCTGGATGCTTTTTTTTTTTTTTTGGGGCAGTGGTTTCATGTCCCGAGAATATGCAATGGATGACATCTCTCTATTAAATATGACGTTTTTAGTTTTGGAGTTCTAGTCACTTGTGACCCTTTGTCTTACCTTGGGCACAATAATTAAACTTTAACCCATAATAAAGATTATATGAAACCTTAACAACAAATTTAAAAGGGCATAATTGAAATAACATAAGTTCCAGCCATTTGTGATCCTCTGTCTTACCTTGTGTGCAATAATTAAACTTTAATCCACAATTAAGATTAAATGAAGCCTTAATAACAAATTTAAAAGGGCATAATTGGAATAACAGAAACTAAGATCAAAATACTGTTTAGACTCGCACTCCAAAGTAGACTCATGGTACTTTTTTGGAGAATTTTTGAATTCAATCTTAATGAGATGTCCCCAGCCATCATCAATTTGCAAGTGCATCTCCCTGGAAATAATGTGTGACTTATTGAAAGAATGAAAATCTAAAAACTCTTCTCTAATGGTTAATCTTATTGGATTGTTATTCTCATCTTCTTGGTTCATTTGCTATTCACTTTATGTCATTTTATGAATAGTTTTCAGTTTTTCTTGTTTTGAGGGTTGCTATAAATGTACTACCACTTACAACTATATCCTGGATGTTTTTTTTTTGGAAAGTGGTTTCATGTCCCAAGAATATGCAATGGATGACATTTTCTCTATTAAATATGATGTTTTTAGTTTTGGAATTCTAGTCACTTGTGACCCTTTGTCTTACCTTGGGTGTAATAATTAAACTTTAACCCACAATTAAGATTATATGAAACATTAACAACAATTTTAAAAAGGCATAATTGGAATAACAAAATTTCTAGTCACTTGTGGCCCTTTGTCTTACCTGGGTACAATAATTAAACTTTAACCCACAATTAAGATTAAATGAAGCCTTAACAACAAATTTAAAAGGGCATAATTGGAATAACAGAAATTATGATCAAAATACTGCTTACACTCACACTCCAAAGTAGACTCATGGTACTTTTTATACACTACCACTTACAACTATATCCTAGATGCTATTTTTTTTTTGGGCAGTGGTTTCATGTCCCGAGAATATGCAATGGATGACATCTTCTCTATTAAATATGATGTTTTTAGTTTTGGAGTTCTAGTCACTTGTAACCCTTTGTCTTACCTTAGACACAATAATTAAACTTTAACCCATAATTAAATTATATGAAGCCTTAACAACAAATTTAAAAGGGCATAATTGAAATAACAGAAGTTCTAGTCAGTTGTGACCCTTTGTCTTGCCTTAGATGCAATAATTAAACTTTAATCCACAATTAAGATTAAATGAAGCCTTAATAACAAATTTAAAAGGGCATAATTGGAATAACAGAAACTAAGATCAAAATACTGCTTACGCTCGCACTCCAAAATAGACTCATGGTACTTTTTTGGAGAATTTTTGAATTCAATCTTAATGCGATGTCCCCAGCCGTCATCAATTTGCAAGTGCATCTCCCTAGAAATAATGTGTGACTTATTGAAAGAATCAAAATCTAAAAAATCTTCTCCTATAGTTAATCTTATTGGATTGTTATTCTCATCTTCTTGGTTCATTTGCTATTTAGTTATGTCATTTTATGAATAGTTTTCAGTTTTTTCAGTTTTTGTTGTTTTGAGGGTTGCTATTAATGCACTACCACTTACAACTATATCCTGGATGCTATTTTTTTTTTTGGAAAGTGGTTTTATGTCCCGAGAATATGCAATGGATGACATTTTCTCTATTAAATATGATGTTTTTAGTTTTGGAGTTCTAGTCACTTGTGACCCTTTGTCTTACCTTGGGTGCAATAATTAAACTTTAATCCACAATTAAGATTATATGAAACCTTAACAACAAATTAAAAAGGGCATAATTGGAATAACAAAATTTCTAGTCACTTGTGTCCCTTTGTCTTACCTTGGGTGCAATAATTAAACTTTAATCCACAATTAAGATTATATGAAACCTTAACAACAAATTAAAAAGGGCATAATTGGAATACCTAGGTACAATAATTAAACTTTAACCCACAATTAAGATTAAATGAAGCTTTAACAACAAATTTAAAAGGGCATAATTAGAATAACAAAATTTTTAGTCACTTGTGACCCTTTGTCTTACTTGAGTACAATAATTAAAGTATATCCTAGATGCTATTTTTTTTGGGCAGTGGTTTCATGTCCCGAGAATATGCAATGGATGACATCTTCTCTATTAAATATGATGTTTTTAGTTTTGGAGTTCTAGTCACTTGTAACCCTTTGTCTTACCTTAGGCACAATAATTAAACTTTAACTCATAATTAAATTATATGAAGCCTTAACAACAATTTAAAAGGACACAATTGAAATAACAGAAGTTCTAGTCAGTTGTGACCCTTTGTCTTGCCTTGGGTGCAATAATTAAACTTTAATCCACAATTAAGATTAAATGAAGCCTTAATAACAAATTTAAAAGGGCATAATTGAAATAACAGAAATTAAGATCAAAATGCTGATTACACCCGCACTCCAAAGTGGACTCATTGTACTTTTTATATAATAATGATAATGATAATGATAATGATTTAAATGTGTTAAAGACATCAATCCAAGTACCGTATGCACTAGTTCAAGAGAATTTTAGGAGACCCATATCTAATTTGAGAGGAGTTTTGGTTAAGTATCAAACGAAAAGAGCAAATTATGAACCTTTGGATCGTCAAGCAATTTGAATTATTTAGTCTGTTTTGTATTTTTAGTTTTAAGTGCCTTTTAGCCTTGGAATTATATCCTAGGATTTCGCACTCTTTCTTTTATATTCTTTTTTTGTTATAATAAATTTGTTATCCTTTTACCCATAGATTAAATTTGCTATCCCTTTATTAACTATATAGACTAAGGGCGGAAGCCTGGTGTACACGTGGACGTGGTCGTCCTCCGCGTGGCGACTGGGGATTCGTTTGTTTGCTGCTGGCGTGGAGCGGCTGCGTTGTTTATTTCCCCCCCCCCGGCTGTTTTCTTCTTTTCTTTTTTTCTTCTTGCTCGGTGGGAGGCTGGCTGAGGTCGTGGGTCACTTCTCTGCCACTTGCTCAGTCTCCTGTGTACCAACTCCACCAAGCTGAAGCTTTTCCTCCTTGTGCGGTATTCTTTGCAGCTCAAGTTTTACCCTCAAGTTTTACCCTCAACTCAAGTTTCACCTTGTACGACCCGTCTTTCGTTGGCCCTATTTGCCTGCATCCGTTAGGTTGGCTCCGTCAGGTGGTCGTTGCATCTCTCTTCTTCCTTTTTCGTTGCCACTGTTTAGCTCTGTTGTGGCCTTCTGGAGTTGCTGTCTTGAGCTTGCCACGTGCTCCAGCTGCTCCCACTCCCAACTTGCTGTTTGCCTTCCACTCTTGTACGCCTTCCCGCTCCGCTGCCCCGTCTTTCATTTTGTACTGTTTTCCTGCTCCTCAGTCCTGTCTCCATCTACTCCATCCTGCCTCCATCCTGCATCCATCTTCCCCCACTTACTTCTTCACCCACTTCCGCTTTCCCCTCACACAAAACTGTTCCTTTAGCTATCTTGCACGCCTTCTCCCACCTGCTCTGACCTCTTCCAACCTGACCTATTAGTTGACTGCCATCATGAACCATGGTGCTTCTCCTCTTGCCTGCTCGTCGAAGGCCGCTATTTGCCCTTTTGTTCCTGTTTTGGTGTTGTTGCTGCTCCTTGCCATTGCCCTCTTTGCTGCACCAGGTTATCTCCGCTGCTCTTTCGTTGCTCAGCTTCCACTCCCCCCCCACCCCCGCCCCGCCGCCGTCCCCCTCCCTCTCCCTCTCCCTCTGTCTCCCCGTGTTGTCCATTATAATTCCGGGCTGCCTCTGCTGCTTACACCCCTTTGCTTGCCAATATTTGGGCTCGGTCTTTCCCCCATACCGTTAATACCTCCTCCCAGGCCTACGATTGTCCTCGGATTGCCGCTGAACAAAACCCCCGTCTTGCCTAGCATTTTGTTGCCGGCACTGTGTTGTTCCCAGCTTTTGTTCTCTTTTCCCCCTGGACTGCGTTTAGTGCGCTGCTCGTGTGTTCCTTTTTGGTCCCTTTCCTTTCAGTTTATTCGCAGCTCTTTGTGCTTCTTATAATTGCTTCCCTTTTGTTATGTTCCCTGCTTTCCGCTATTTTCTTAACCTTTATGTCGCTTTTGCTTATGCAGGCCAACTTCGGCTCGCCCCTCTACCGTGTCCTCTCTTAGCCTCCGTTTACTGCTTAAGGTATTTTGTCTTCTGCTTGCTTTCATATCATGCTGGTGTGCTTTCATATTTACTCTTTCAGTTGCCTCGCTCGATTACATGCTCTGCTTGTTAACATATATAGTCTATGTGCGAATGCCAGGGTTCTCAATTGAGTTTTAATTGCTGACTTGGCATCTCCTTATTGGTGAATTGATGGTAGTTCCCCCGATCAATTGAGATGATGGATTCAATTGAGGACAAAATTGAGATTTCGCCTCCTTATTGGATGGACAGAGTTGCTGAGAATTCATTTACGCCGCTCACCGTGTCTCTTCTTCTTCGAAGCTATTTTCTCTCTTTCTTCTCTGGTTCCTTCTCCCTTGCTTCTCCTTTAATTAAACATTAAACAACAGTGCAAGACAAATCAGAGGTCATACATTGGTCTTCTTCTTGCAGGTTAAAGGGTATTTTCCTTTCTCTTTCTCTCTTAATTAGCCTAATTTTCATTTTTAATTTTTTTACAACCTTTCTCTATACAGCCTTTATTTTTTCCTTTTATTAAAGTAGTTATTTACGATCTATTTTGTTGCTATCGTTTTCTTTTCTATTGTTTGGATCTGTAGGTTTCCATGGTACTGGTTTCATTTTCTTGCTGAAGTATTTCTATCTATTTTATGCCTAATTTCTTCTTTCTTTTTTGCCATAATTATTTTGTTATTTTGCAGGTTTTTGTCGAAATTTTCTTTGACTACTCACTTTTCTTGACTGGTTGCAACCATTATCAGTATCACAAGTTTTATTTTCGGACCTTTATTTTCTCTTTTATTTTTTCTCTGAGATACGTTACAAATGGCTTGTAGATCTACTAGATTTTATTCTGTTCTCCGGAGGTGTCGTCTGCTCTTTTATTTTCTTAAATTTTTTTAGAACTTTAAAAAAAACTCAGTCTCTACGCATTTGGACCCATTTGGAATATTTCCTTTTTCTTTCTTATTCTTGAGCATCTGCTGAGTTGTTACGAGAGAATAGATGTTGAAAAAATTAGTTGAGCCGTAGTGTTTTTGCGCTATAAACAATCTTTGATCTAATTTAATCAATTTTGCTTAAGTTTTTGTCGGTGAATTAATCCGGAGAAAGGAATGAGTAGGAACCTTTTTTTTAACCCCTGGAGTAAGGTAAATTACTCCAAATTTAGTGCATAGTGTCTGGTTATTTCTTGTTTTGAGTCTTTTCCTGCCATTGTTGGGATTTTTTTGGTCTCTTGTTTTTGTATCCATGATGGCTTTATGTTCAATTCTGCTTAATTAGACTGAAACTGCTGTAATGGCTGGACTAATTTTATCAGCGTTGACTTGAAAATAGTACTTTTCTTGATAGGACTTATCAATATCTATCTTATGAATCTAAGTTGTACAAACTAACCAATTGCTTTTTACCTAGGGGCAGTTTTTGCTTAATACGACTAATATAAATGGTTTTGATGCTTGTAGGTAGTAAAACATTTGCCAAAGAAGAAGTCCCAAATATTAGATTTTTTGTACAGGCTAGAAGCGGTAAGTAAATTGCCATTTTTCTTAGAAATACTAAATTATGCATTTATTCTTGGCTACTTGTTCGTCTTTATGAAATCATTCAACTTTTTGAAATCAATTGAAGGAATAACTGGAAGATGCTATTGATGCTTAGTGTATGTGTTTTGGTGTTTGTGTGTGTGTGTGTATTTGAAATTTCTTTGACTTTGTATACCATAAATTTGGTTTTCCATCAGATAACATGTTCTCTAAGATTGCATATTTAACCAATCTAATCATTTCAAGCCAAATGACCAATTTTCTTGTTATGGGGAGTGTATTATATAATTTAGAGATGATATGCAGGCACAAAAGTTATTTGGCAGCAGATGGACTAAAATTGCAAGAGTTTAGGCAGTTAAAAATAGTTGTTAAACACAGAAAATGATCTGTTAATATTTTTCTTACATATTGCAAGAGTAGTCATATTTTGTACTTTGTCCTTTATTATTAGTTTCATCGTTGTATTATTTTTTAAAATTATTTATATATCATTCCAATTTTTTTTAAAATCAGTAGAATTCTAGAATCACTGGAACTTGGTTGAGGTCAAAAAGGAGTTGAGTGGTCATCAATGTATCAAAATTCTCATGTTTTTGGTGTTTTTGCTTCTTATTCTCAAATTCAGTGGTGACATTGGCTTTAAAAATTTACATCTCTTTCTTCTTCTTGAATAATGTATTAAATTATGTGAATAATGTATTTTCTGGTTTGACAAGTGCAAATATAGCAGATCATTTGTTCTCTCTTTTTGAGAACCATTGACCATTTTCCAAAATGGTAACTCTATATAATTGGAAAATATTATTGTTTATAATTTTGTTGGTATGGTCATTAAGAAACAAACAGTAAATTAAGGTTTTTATGCCGACGCTCTTATATCTTTTAACATTCTGTTCCCAGGTAAAACCATTTTATGGATTGCATTGTATTGACATAAAGAGGTATCGAAGACTGCTACTTTTGCTTAATGTTGAATTTTGCATACAAGTTCCGTGAAGGTAAGATGCTCTATCAACTCAGTGTGAAGTCTTGCCGCAAAAGAAATTTTTTTTTATTTTGTATCTGGGTTGGTTTCCCCATATAGGGAGGGTGATAGAACTTTCAAAATTGAATTTGAGGTGAGAAATGGGGCTGGCAATAGTTGGAATTTGACGAACTATTGTTCAGTATAGCATTGATTAGGACCTAGCATTTTGTTCGAATATTATGGATTGGGCTGAAATTTGACTATAGTTTCACTATAGCATTTATTAGGACCTAGCATTTTATTCGAATATTAGCAACCAAAAGAAAATTTTCTTAAAAATGGTTCATTTTGGTATGCATTCCAGATTACATCAGCTCCTTTCTTAAAGTTTGCGTTTCAGATTACATCAGCTTGAAATGTTTAGAGTCGATTCATTGTAAGTTGACAACATAAAATGGTTCACCTCATAAGGCCTTCAATATTAAATCTGCAACATTATACTTTTAAGTGGTATACCCTCATATAATCCACGGGAGTTTCAACTTTCTATTTGACTGGTTGTTTGACAGGTCGTCAGCCTGTGCAATAATAAAAACCTGCTCAGCTAAACTTAATTTCTGTAGATAGTGGTAAGCAGGGTCGAATCCACAGGGACTGGGAGTAATTATTTCTTTTCAAGTTCACAGTGACAAAGGGGGGTGTTTTTATCTCAGGGGTAACAATTTAAGCAATCCAACTAAAAGTAAAATAATAAAAATAAAATAGCCAACTAGAAATTAAATAACAATTTACTAAAATCAAATGAATGATAATTAAGGATCTAGCCAAGGAATAACTTCAGCAATGGTTCACCTAGTTGATCATTGAAGCAAAGGCAATTCCAATTATTCATCAATAAATAGGTTATAACTACCAAACAAGCGATGGCAGTCAACCCCTCCTTACTGTGTCGGTGATCAAGGTACGTCCGTTAATCACTGCTCTAATTGAGAAATAATCCTAGGTACGCCCATAGAATTTAATTCCCCAATTGCCTTACGTATTAGAGGAGCCCTATTCTAACCAAATAACGCACTACCAGGGTTATTTTAGATTAGCCCGCGTATTCCCCTGACACAAACCTAATCATGCCAGTTGCCACTATTTTAGAGCAATTAAACAATTACGGATTTAATGCCCTAATTGACAATAGATTATCCAATTAACTAATTATCTGGATCCAAGACAATCAATTAATTAAATAACCATAAGCATAGCAACCAAGAAATATGCGGATACCAATAAATAAAAGGAAAAGATTAAATTAAAACGATCTCACAATTTTTAGGCAAACCAGAGCCTCAGTTGTCCCTTGACTAGACAAAGGGGTTTAGCTCATTGCTGATGAGGAAAACCCATGTAAAATCAAAGCATCAGTCGCGGCCATAGTATAGAAATTTAGGAAACTTCAATTCAATCGAAGGAATAAAGCAAAGTAAGGTTACAAAGGATGATTTTGTCTTCAATGCTCCTGACTCACGTAGGAGGTAGCCACAAAAGATTCCAAGGAAAAGTCAAAAGCTTTCCACTACAAGACGAAGGAGACCAAACGGTCAAAGGAAAAGCTAAACTATAAAAATGGAAAAAACTAAGAGGGAAGCCAGCTCCCTACTGTGCGGCGGCTCCCCCAGGGGGAGGAAGAAGACTCCCACTTCAGCCCTTCGTTCCTCCTTTTAATGCTGCGCTCTGCGAATTACCAAAAAGGCCTTGTATCTTCTTGTTCCAAAAATGTCCTGAATGCCTGCTACTTGAACTCTTTCCTGATAACTGTCAAATCGGCACTTATTATGGTATTTTCGTTCTACTCCCTGAAATATATGTAAAATACTAAAAGTGAGTAGAATCCAGCAATTAATTCACATCGGGTCAGGTAATAGGGAAAATTAATAATAAAATAAATGATAAAATTACAACCTATCATTGTTTAAACAGTTAACGTCAACTTTGTTAGGGGATTACATTTTTATCTTTTATTAGAAATATGTTTTAATTTGAGTTTTTGAATTTCAAGTCATCACATACCCTTGTTCTTTCTTATAAAATGATGAAAACCAGTTAGATGACTCCAGTGTACTTGTTTTACAATATTGTCACATTTTTCAAATTTTCAAATCGCTCCTAAGATTCTTTTCATTGATCTTGTTTTAAATAATCACTTGTGATATGGTACTTCTGACAGAATTACGGGCTGAATTTCTAGGATGAAGAGTGCGAAAGTTGATTAACTACTTGAGATGACTGCTTTTTCGCTTTTCTCCTATACTGTCATGATCAAGACGCAAGATAATATCTTTCCAACCACGATCAGTGTGCATTTGACAGTTTGAATTTCTTTTTTTTTCTTAATTCTTGCCTCGGTGATGATTAGTAATCATCCAAAATTATTTATGTATAAATATATTTATGGGAACATCAACGATTGTCTAGGGATCAACTGGCCTCTTTACTTATTCGATAATTCCTTTCTCATATTTTTTTTTCTATGATAGCGTTATTGCGTTCAACTGAATTGTGTTTTTCTTCAATTAGGAAGTGTTTGGCTTCAACAATTTATCACAGTATTAGATGACAGCATCCTTAATTTTGTACAATGCAAAGCTATGGTTCCAACCTACCTTTTGTAAATTTATGGTTGATTTTGATACACATACAAAGCTGTGGCTATAAAGCACGTGCTCCGTCTCATACCATTGCATCTTCTCAAACAACTACAGGTCTCTCTAGACATCCACAAATCACACTATTTTTATCTTTAAGAGTCATGGTCATATGAGTTCTATATCTCAAGATATAGCTATGTTATTGGGAGAGCTCCCGATATTAAGGATTCAACTCTATTGAACATATTACACTACTAATCATCACCACTTTCATGCCTACTAATCATCACTGCTTTTCCGTATTGCACTATTAAATACATTACATTACTCATTTTCCAATCTTCTTATTACTTTTCCTCAAATTTTAATTATCAATATACTTATTCAAAACATAATCCTGAATTCATCTTTATTATTTTAATTCATCAGGATTACAATATTTCAAAAATATATCGGACATTAGTGGGCATAATTCCATTCATCCACCGCGCGATGCGCGGTGATCTCCTCCTAGTACCTAGATATAGGTCAATTCGACTGAACCATGTGCTTTATTTGCTATATTATTATTTTTATTGGGTTGCCAAAAATCCTCTTACTTTTATTGGTCAATTGCTTGGAATCAGACCCGACAAATTCTGCATGGAGTCTCGGGAAAAGGTACTTGCTTATAAATACTCTTGGTAGATCAACTTGCGTTTCCTTTATGTGATTTTATTCCCATCACAAGACCTTTTGACCAGGAATACCAATAGTGTTTTCAGACCTGGATTATCTGACTAACTGGATCTAAAAGATGGATCAAAACGACTTTCACACTCTTAGGTTCACATTGCTCAAGTAATGATTTTATTCTAATAACTAATTGAAACACAAAATCATTGCCAGCTAGACGTAACCATGATACACAAACAAGAATATGATACTGCGCACCACTCTGTGGTTCAACTCAATGGAATCAAACAATTCTGTATTTGGTTTTTGGTGCTCGAAGTTCGGTCAGCCAAAAAAACCAGTCATGTGAAAAGCATATGATTTCGTGAACTGACCAAATTACCAATCTCTTGCTATTTATAATCTCACCACGAAAGTTTTGAACCATAACAAAATAGTCAATATGAGCTCTCGATAATGTGCATATTATGAGAACATTAACAAATTAACAGGTTCATTAATAATTTTTCATATTCTTAGTAAGTATTATAAGGAGCCAATAAAAATCAAAGGTTATAATGAGCAAGTTGTTGAAACTATTTAGACAAAAAAAAGTGTCAAAGATAAACAAATGAAAATAGAGTCCTACTAATTTTTAGCACTTCCCGAAAGATAATAAACAGCATGCACTGGTTCAATTTTCTATGACCTGCTGACGCTATATAAGTCCAGGTTTTTTGGGTCAATAATTCAGCTACAAAATTATTCCTTATGAATAAATAATATATCTAGTTGTGAGTATATATACTAGCAACAACGGAGGAAATTTCCACATCATAAGAGTTTTAAGAAAAGGTCCCAAATAGTCAAGGTTTTGGAAAAAAAATTCAATAAATGTGATTTCTAAACGATACAGTCATACGTTATTTAAGTAATATCTACCTATATAAATTGTAAAAAAAAATTTATAAATGCATCATGTGATAAAAAAAAAAGATTGCATTTCACTAAATGCGCTTTCCACAGTTTGAGAAAAAGTTTAAAAAAAAATATTACCCTTTGAAAATTTTTCTTAAAATGTCTCACTTTTTTGGAATTCAAAATCCAGAAAGAGTTGAGCACTTGATTAAACGTGTATACTGTTGTAGCCTAATTGGCTTGTCAAACATTCTGACTGAAAATAAGGAAATATAAATGTTCTAGCAGAGGAATTCATTACTTTTTCACCTGTGAAATTGTGAAATTTCTTATACTTTCCCTTTTTTTTTTCTGGGCAAAACTGTGAAAGTAAACTGTGAAAAGAAGCGCAAGTTGCTCGACAAAAGCGAAAACTTTAGCGAATAAAAGTAGGATTGATTGACTTTTCACATCTCAAAACAGAACCGGTGGAGTCCACATATTAAGATGAAATAATGCCAGTGAGGAGCCCAATAATTCAGTAGCCCTCCACTGCTTCTGCAATAGAAAGGATAAATAACTATATCCAGCCAAGAATAGGTATAAAGAAAGATTTATATCAGCCAGATGTGAAATACTTTATATATTTGCAACAAATCTGCAAAGAAAAGGCCAAATTAGCCCACCAGGTCCAGCACCAGCCCTCCCAACTGGGCAATGACAGACCCTCTTTACCAGCCCTCCCAATTGGACTGTGCACAAATTCTCTCGACAACCTCGATCTAACTTCTTCTGAGCTCCGAGCTTTCTAGTTTCTGAAAGAGAGATATGTACAACTTTTTTCATCATTCCTAGCCATATTCATTGACTTACTTCATCTCTAAATTTAACTCATCTTCCTTTCGTTAAATGGCCTCCAGTTGTCTTACTTGCATTTCAGCCATCTTGGATGATCTGCAGTTGCTGGAGGATCTGTGTCCTAAAACTCGAGTTTGGGAGGACGAGTTCACTGACTTGAGGACAGCAAAAATATTTCTAGGAACTTTCAGACCATTTCTTCTATCTGTGAGAAAGTGGGGCGATGATGATGATGCAAATCTAGGAGCACTGGTTGCTAGGATGAAAGATTTCATTTCCAAACTGGGGCAGGCGATTCACGAGTTCTATCTTACTAGTGTGGAAGAAGGATATCGTATGGACCTTGCTATATATTTCCTCGATGGTCTAGAAGAAGAAGCGTCATCTCTCGTAGAAGAAATCGAGGATTTAGACAGCTCATCAAGGTTGTCTAGCAAGTCCCTGGTAAAGAAAGATGACCTAATGGATGTCATGAACTCTCTTCTGGAGAGCCTCCGGAACATCGGCTTAATAGATGTCTTAGAAGATGATGAGAAGCTAACATTCTGGAAAAACTTCATCTGTTTTGTTACACTTCATGGCATCGATGATGGGCAATTGGGACCTTTACTGACACACACCAAATCTGTCGCTGTCAACGCAGCACTCAACTATCTCAAGTGGAGCCTTTGCAAATTCACGTTAAAAGGCGATCCTGTTTGGAACCTGCTGCCGAAGATCATTCCTGTAGAACCTGAAGTGCATAGGACTTGTTTCCAGGCCCTGATTGCTTCAAAGAAATCAAGACAACAATACGAGAAAAATGATGAGCACATATTCAGAGTCTTCATCGATTCTCTCCTAATCTATCTTTGGGAGATACTAAAGACTGGAGCTTGTGTTATGATGTCTTTGAAGGATCGATTGAAAATGGTTTATGATGGGTTGAGGTCCTTGAGAATCATTCTCAAGGGGAACCCCGACGTGTTTGATCAGAAAATGAGAGATCTTACTGGACTCCTCCTCTGTGATTCAGGACTTGTTATTTTTTCCCTTTCTCTCAACGAAATTAAAGATGGATCAGTCAAGGAAATGGATCTGGAGTCTTTTCATGATTTCCTGAAAAGGATAAAGCTTATCAAGGCAATAGTTGCAGAGATATATCCAGAAACATCACCATCATCCAAGTTTCCCAGGACTAATGAGTTGGGATTTATCGATTTTCTTCTAAAATATATCGGAGATTTGACAAATCCTGATGCTCGTTCAGTTGCTCTTTCAAACTATCCAATTCAAGCAATCCAAGAAGAACTTGTTTACTTGCGCTCCTTCTTGGGAAGAATTGTGGAATTGCGCAATGAAGATCAGGAGCTTCAAGCACTTTGGGATCGTGTTGTTGAGGTGGCATACAAGATAGAATTTCTTATCGACTCCTTGTTGGTTGGAGACATTCTAGATTCTTCTTCAACCTCATTTGATTCCGTTGAAGAAGAAATTAAGATTATCAAAGCTGCGGCCTTGAACATTTTTGATAAAAAAACACTTGATCTCAATGTTAAGGAAGCTACCAAGAGACCAAATAACATGCCATCACAGGGAAGCATGCCAATAATCAATGACATGATCGTGGGATTGGAGGATGAGGCAACCTCAATAATCAATCGACTCACAAGAGGATCCTCCCTTCTGCAAATTGTCCCCATTGTAGGTATGCCAGGACTTGGCAAGACAACTTTAGCTAAAAAAGTTTACAATAATTCTTTAGTTACGTCGCATTTTTATAGACATGCTTGGTGTACTGTCTCTCAAGTGTATCACAGAAAAAATCTGTTACTTGAAATTTTGACTTGTATTCACTCCAAACTTCCTGAGAAATTTTCTGAGATGTGTGAAGAAGATTTGGCTGCAGAAGTCAGAAGAGGTCTGCTAAGGACTAGATATCTCATTGTTTTGGATGATATATGGGACGCTGAAGCATGGAAGGGATTGGAAGCATCATTCCCTGACAATCAAAACGGCAGTAGAGTGATCGTGACAAGTCGAAAGTCTGATATTGCTACTTTGAGAGATGAACTTGATGAAGGGCCTCATTTCCTCCGTCCGCTGACTCCTGATGAGAGCCGGGACTTGCTAAACATGAAGTTATTTCCTGGAAATGATTTGCCTCCGCCAGAATTATGCGAACTGCAAATGAAAATCGTGGAAATGTGTCGAGGACTGCCACTTACAATCGTCATTGTAGCTGGAATTCTGGCAAATGAGAACCAACGTCGTCGGAAAGAACTTGTGGACGGTTTAAGTTCAAGAATCGTCTCTAGTACAGAACAATGCTCTGCTGCAATAGAGTTGAGTTACAAGAACCTACCAGAAAATTTGAAGCCATGCTTTCTATACTTCGGAGCATTTCCAGAAGACCATGAACACACTGCTGAGAAGTTGATTTGGTTATGGGGCGCTGAAGGATTTACCCAGAAAACTCAGTT